TGCGCTTTTTTCAACCAAGAAATACAATAACTTGCAATAATGCAACCACGTTTAGAGAGCTCTACCTCTTTTCAAAATTTTGTTCAATTTTGGCAACTAAGAGTTGCATCTAAACTTAGAGATTCTGTTGGGTCTCATTTGCCAGTATAGGGTATTGACTGTGGCACAACCAAACTTAGAACAAATCTCAACGACCTAAAATCACCGCGTATTTAAACAAGGCTGAATCAAATTGATTTGGGCGAAGCAGATCGCGAAGATTGTCAATACATCTTTTCATTAGCGCTGCTGTGCATCACCACTATGATCAAAATTTGACCTCACGCCTGGTGTAACGATTTTTGAAAACCTGTTTTGACCCTTCTGATTCTAAATAAAATCCTTTACCTTAGTGCCCACTTATTAGTTTCACAAAGGAAAGCAAAGAGATCAAAGTATTTAATCACCTGGCATCAATAGCGGCTCCTCTATCAATCAGTTCCTTAGCCACCTTGTCATATCCGTGCAATGCAGCCAAGTGCAGTGGAGTATTCGAGGCATCATCTTCATCGTTAATGATTGACATATCTCTCCTTAGAAGTGCACACACAGTTCTAGGAAAAATAACTGAGTTTATGGCATGGCAATTTCCTATTCGACATACAGTTACAAAATAAACGATCTACACATTACAGCACGGTTCCAGAAACCTTGATGATTCTTTTATCTCTGCCCTCAGAAAGTATGTAAGAAATTAAGACACAACGCGCTGTGAAATTCCAAATGGCGAACAAACCCTTTGTAAGTTGGTTTCAGATATTCTTACAACTTCTCTATGAACACTGCCATTTTAAAACTTGTTGAACAACCTGGCCACCAAAGTATCACGCAGCAAATTCTCTATCCTCTTTTTTCCATTGATTAGTGATCTGTCTAAAACCATGTGACGGTGTAAAAGGACGCATTCCCGCCTCAAATAAAGATTCCTTTGTGATAACCAGAGTAGCACATGTTTGTAAACAGTGCGTTGTAGTTTTGAGTGTGAAGTCGAGTAACTGAGTTGATTTCAAATTGGCGAAATCCATGGTCGAATCTTTTATCTCATATGAAATGAATTTATAATCCGTTAAGAAATCCTTTGGAAGATGTAGATTCGAAAACGTTCTTTTTTGACAGCATGAACAAAAAAAATTGTAGTTTCAAGAGCACATTACTGTTTTCACTTTTACCTTATTCGTCCAAATTTTGCTGCTAAGTGGAGCGGTGTTAACGATCCGTCATTCTTACTGTCAATACAACAACCATTATCGAGCAGAAGCTAAACAGGGAAATACGCAAATGACACATGAATTCATCCCCTAGCAATGAATGAAAAATTTCAAATCCAAATTCGAACATCTTTCTCACAGACACTTTAGTGTAACCCACGATTCGGGAGGATCGTTTCCGTACGGTTTTCCCCTTACTTCGCTATGTGAACGTGATTGGCCGAGAAAATTTTCGCCAACATCTCAACCAACCACATGCAGAGCTTACGTCAATGGCTTGGTCAATCCCGTTTTCTAGCCGATGATTTGGTCAGTCCCGTTTTCCCGCCAATGATTTGGTCAGTCCCGTTTTCCCGCCAATGACTTGGTCAGTCCTGTTTTCCCGCGGTTTTTGTTATTTTCTTATCTCACCTTTAAACTGTCAGTGGCTCCTTGTGTGATTTCACTCTGTTCTGATTGGCTATCGTACCTTTTTTTAATTAATCAAAATGTGCACTGACAGTTTAACTTACTTGGACAATCCTAACGTAACCCTTTTTGGCAGCTACATGCAGGGGTGTGTTCTCGTACTTGTCGTACTCCTCAACCAGAGTTTTGCCTTTGCGATCCTTGAGAAGAAACTGTAAGACAACACACAAGCGATGAGCTTATAAAGCAACAAACAAAGCAAAGTCACGAAACATAATCAGAGAAGAGGATTATTGCAGTGACAATAAGATAGCGTTAAACCAAATCGCCATATGATTGGTTTATTCTCTCCCGGCATTTGGTACATAGTCCCTTTCTCTGATCCGCTGTGTACCATAGTGCCCCATTATACTACTTACTATACAAAATATCTTACTTCAAGTGCCTCAATACATCCTTCAGAAGCCGCTCTGTAAATTGGAGTTTCATCGTTACTGTCTTTTGCTCCGATATCTGCACCATGATTCAACAACCTTTTCATCGTTTCCGAGTGATTCTTACTCGCCGCTATCAGCAAAGGTGTATCTTTATCCTTGTCTCGACATTCAATGAAAGCACCTCTACAAACAGAAATTTCCGTGAATATATGTATTTCCTAATTATAAAATACACGAGGTTTAGTTGAGGAAATTACTTTTGAACCAATTTTGGTCTAAAAATGAGCATAGATTTCGGATATTATGTCTTTCATTGAGTCTGGTTTACAAGGGAAGCACTAAAAGTATAACACTTAGCTATAAATGGAAAGCAGAGAAGGACAAGTAACCAAAATTGATCACTCGAGTTGAATTTCTCTGGTGGGTTCTTTGACTGCAGAGCTGGTAGGAAGCTTACCTAAGCTCGTGCGAAGCGTAATGGATCACGAATCAAGTAAAACGTTCAAAACCTGGTCTGAAAATGGATGTGATAAATGACATGTTTTGGTCTGAAATAGGGTAGACGAAGAGCAGTCTCTCTTTTTAGATGAAGTCTGTCGCGCGTGTCAAAAAACTCGCGCGGAACTCCGGATGTGTGGTGCACGAAAAGTTCTGCCAGAGCTCTGCCCGCGCGCTAACGTCAATTTTCTTTCATCGCCGATATTTCTAAATTGCGCGATGGACTTCGCCAAAAATATCTCAAAGTGGTCTCAATTCAGATATTAACAAAAGGTCGTTCTGATACTCATTGCAAGATAAAGGAGACTCTATGAATTCAAGCACTTAAACCTACTCTAAACGATAATGTCAGCAGCGATAAGCTTTATCTGTATTAGTTTGCATCTTTGTATATACAAATTTTGTTTTTTTACCTTCTCAACTTTTGTTCGTTGTTTTGTTAATTGGTTACTTATCTTAAATTTAAACTTAATCGCCACGTGTATTATTAACTGTCACTTCTGAAGATGTATGTCGAAACATACGAAACGTCAAGTAAAGTTTACTAATCTTGTTTTCCAACATGCGTTTTACTGTCATGTTTGTAACTGCAGTTTGTGTGCTATTTCTTATCAAGCTACGATGGCCAAAGAGAAAGAATTTTTATCTATAGAGAGTTTCTGGGAGTACCACTGGAATAACAAGGGTGCAATTATGGACACCGGGAGAAAAAAAAAAAAAAAAACTTTTTTAAGTTTTGTTGTCATAACCGGTTGCCCACGCTGTTTAACTGACAGCACCTGCTCAGAAGATAATCCACAATATCCACCCTGTTGAACAGGGCTGCTCTATGCAGGGGAGTCTCCTGTGAGGAATTCTTCGCTTCTATGTTCGCATCATGTTCTATCAACATCTTGACGATGTTTAAGTCTCCCCCTGTAGCGGCCAGGTGCAGTGGAGAACTCATATTCATCTTATGTGCGTTCACGTTTGCTCCCTTGTCCAGGCAGAGCTTCGCCAAGTTCAGATCGCCGTCCTCCACAGCAAGATGAAGAGCCGTTTGTTCTTCCCGGTCCTGATCTGTGACCATTTTGGATACCAAGGCCCATCCACCTTTCTCCGCAGCTTGTATGATTGATTAAAAAAATACAAGTCACCACTAATCTGAAGGCCATAGTAGACTACAAGGGCATAACGGGGAGTAGCTAATCAGGTTACAGGATTTTTTTTTTTACCACGTGATACAAATTAACCAATCATATGACTAGACCGACGCACAAGATGGCGATTTACAGGTACGAGTGGGAGTTAACCTAGGTTTCATAAAACTGAACGCGTTTTATCACTCGATTGACAAAAAACTCTTTCCTTATCAAGGCTGTGCTCTAAGGAAAACTGAATGGAGCCCAGTGCTCTGAAACTGTGAAATCCAGGGTGCCCAGCATATGCTTTGTATGAAAAAAACTAAAATTTCCGAGTCGCCCAAGAGCAAAAGTAAGGCGCCAAGGGCCACTGGGCGCTACTAGAGCACAGCCTTGCTTATTCTAATAACGACTTCCGGTCATGCTATCCACGCACCAGTCAATGTTGCAGATAACAGTTCCACTCTGAACCGTGTAATAAACATTCTGACTTGACTTTTTTATTACACTTACCTGTCTCAAACAACAATTTTGCAACTTCAAGACTCCCTTCCATACACGCGAAATGCAAAGGTGTCATCTGCTCTTCGTCCAAGCTTCTCAAATCAGCCCCAGCATTGATCAGACATTTGGCAACAGCGAGGGATCCTTGGCTGGAGGCCACATGCAGGGGAGTCATCATCGTCTTATCTTTTGCCTTGAATATTTCAACACCATAAATTATACAATAAGCTGAGCTATAAACGTATTTTGATTGGTTCGTAATTGTGCTCTATAGGAGGAAAGACACACAGAGGACGTCAACGTTCACAACATTTTGCTTTTTATCATTTTAAAACACATAAATTCATCTTGATCTATGGAACATGGAATCTATTTGTTCTTATTGGTTCATGTCAGAGGATGATAATTGATTGCATATTTGTGCTCATAAACTTCATACCACACGCAGTCTCATTTCTAAGGAGTTTCTCACATATCACTGTTTTGATCATTTCTTTGCATGTTTTGGCAAAGCCTTCAAGGTGATTGCTTTGCCCTCTGAAGCTATCATTTTAAGCCTTTGAACCCTACTAGTGACCTGCATCTAATTTCTCCTTACAATATCACCCCTAATTCGAACATTCTAGTAAGGGGAATAAAGGAAATGATCACCAACTAAAGGAACTCTTGATTGTTGGACAAATTCTCCTTGTCAGCACTTTGAGGAAATACATAGAGAACAGTAAGGAGAATATGCATACTGAGGTTTTTAGAGTGGAAGGGATTATAAAAACAAACAAAAAAAAAATCTAAGTCACTCTTGAAATGAGTAATTTGGCACAAAGCAGGCATTTATGCTGCAACAAGGAGCATGTTTAACAGATATTCAGAAGCTGTTTGGTGGAGTGAGATATTTACACAGTTGTTGCTTCCATTTGACATGACCATTGTATTGACCTTTTGACAGACTGCCTCTGTCATGGCTTCACCCGAGCCTGACTGCGTGGACACCAGATGACTCAAGTAACAAAAAAGATTAGCAAAGGTGGGAGTAATCTGAAAACAACTTCACGTGGCTCCAAATAGTTTCCCTATTCTAAACAACACTTCACTTCATGGGTCAATAATACTGCACCATTGCCAATCAGATTGCCTACAGAATGAAGCCTTTGTGGCAAAATCACTCTTTTCTGTTAATCCACTTTTAACATTAGATAACGCCCTATGCACAGCTAAATCATAAACATACATGAAGTGTTTCCTTACCTCAATATCAATGCCTGGGTCTGCCAATAACTCCTCAACTGCTTCCGGATTACCTTTGGCGACAGCATAATGCAATGGAGTGGAACCATAGCCATCTCGTGCATTTACATTGGCCTTCCTTGACAGTAAATATGAAATCATGGTCTCTACCCCAAGAGGTACACTTGGCAAATCTCTTGGGAAGGAGTTCTTTTTTTCTACAGTCAAATGATCTTTGCTAAACAGTTTATTTCCTAGTGTCTCCTTGTGTTTACTCAATGATCCCAGCAATCTGTCCTTTGTACCTTTGTTGAGGCTACCATTGCCTCCATCCTTTTTCTTGTTGTCTTTCTTCAGAGCCAAGCCGATGTCACTCATGTTCTCCATACTAGGGCTAGGTGTAACTTGGGGTGTTGGTCGAGGAGTACCTCCACTCACTCTGGGGACTGGTCGGAATCTGGCTGCGTAGTGAAGGGGTGTCGCATCATCTTCTCCTTTTGCTTCAACATCTAAAATAAGAGATTATCATGACATGGGGTAGAGCTACATCTTTTTGCAAGCATGTACAAGGAAGACTCAAAAGAGTGCAGGTTGAGCAGAGACCCTTATCTTCCTATTATTGAGATTTATTTGCAAAAAATAAAGAACTAACTGCCTGCTGCATGCAGGAACACAACTGACACAGCCTTAAAATTTAACTAGTAATCTTGCTCACCAGGAAAAGCCCCAAGCATGGTGCATTTACTAAACATTTCCTGGAAGGGTGTTAGCTGTTATTCCACAGTGCTCCCTATACGGCATTTCTTTTTCTTAGTGATCACCTATTAGAGAGATCACTAAAACTAGTCTGTGTCAAAAAACTGCATTGGGCTGGCAGAGGAAGCTGAGAAAATTGTGATGAAATGGAGACCCCTGAAATTGTTCCAAATAAAAACTTTGATGTTGTGTCAGCAAGGGGCATTACAATGTAATTTGGTTTTATCAACAGAGTTGATAAATGTTAATAGGCCACTGTGAAAAGTTTCTAAAGCTGGCATTTTGAGTTTTAGCCTTGGTTAGAGCAAACTGTTTCTCTTACCTGCCCCATATTCCATTAACAACTTCACGATGTGAAGGTGATTGTAGCGGACAGCATAATGTAGTGCCGTTGTGTTATCCTGGTCTTTTTTGTTTATCCTCTTGTTTCCTTTGCCCAATTTTTCAAGCCGTCTTTCTACAAGTTCCCGTTTACCATCACGAGCAGCCTTTGAAAAAATAAAAATTGCATCAAAATCAGTAGTAATCCATGACAATAAATTAATGCTCGAGGTTCTGCCACATTTTTTTAATCTTTAACTTTTTTATTCCAAAGATCTTAGCAGGAATTCTCCCTTCTAACTGCTATATATATATTTCCTTGAAAATCAGAGAGAATATCAACCAAGGACAACACCCTCAGCCTTCTGTTGAGGATTAAAAAAAATGCTTGCCATGGACAAATATTTTGCCTGGCCTGGTCATGAAATTTGTAGTTAATAAAAGAAAGTTGAAAACCTCAGGGCTGATTTCATTGATGTATGGACCTGGGATTGAAAATGAACCATTGTTTGTCTGGTATCATGTGATTCTCATGTCAAGAATACACCTCCATGATCCTTTAACTTCCATGAGTGACCAAAACAGAATTTCTCATTACACTACCAGTACAATGTCAAGCAAAACAGTGATGAGAAAAAAGTCCTGAGCAATATCAATTAGGGGATTATTCGTTGATCCAATACCATATTCTCAGAACTGATGTCACAAGAATCATGTGGCAGACAGTAAGGAGAATTATTAATGAAATCACAGGGCTCAAGGTTCTTTCTCTGTAATATTTCCACCTGACCCTAGAGCGGCAATTAACCAACAAGGTATTCTGTAGTGAAACAATTAAAGACACCTGTGCAACTCTTCGTGAATCTTAACAACTACCAATCACAGGTAAATTATGTCTCTTAAAACATACTGTCATAAAATTAGCATTATTTTGCAGGTTTTCACACAAGATTTTCATAAGTCACCCAAAGCATTATTTTGGAAAGACAACTACTTTCCTGGATATCTTTCCCAGATTCTCTGGTGGGCTTCTGACTAATGATGCAAATGGTAGTGCATCAAGAGTCCTACATCCCGTCAAATTCGTGCTCTATATCTTAGCAATTGTCATCTGCTTGCACTAAAAGCTTAATCAGGGCGGGAACAATTTTGACAACAATTTTCGTTGGCATTTCAATTGTGACCGTCAAAACAGTAATACAACTATTATTTCGATTTCCAAAAATTTCCAGCCTTCCCATCAATATTTCTTAATCGCTAAAAAAAATTTGCCTGCAAGACTCCCGCAAAGGTTGCTAATACTATTTATGTTAAGTAAGTAATTTCTATCGATTCGGAATTAATTGATATACACCTACGCGTTGCATTATAATTTTTTACAGTCGAAGAGTTGATTACATTTTTGGTAAAGTATAGTGCCTCTGTTTATCTCGAGATATTTCTGTAAAATTTTTCATCTGTCTTGAAAACAGTTATTAACAAAATGAGCGAAAAATACCTATGACTAAAAAATTAAGAAAGAAAAAAACAACATTACTCTGAGGCTGGTTTATGTGTAAAAGTTCATAATTAGTAAGTTTAGGCAAACATAACTTTTTTTAACTTTTACATCCAATTGTTAGACCATTCGATTGCCTTTTGCTTCGCTTACCTGATGAAGTGATACCGTGGCATTTTCAACGCTCTCTCTTTCCAGCCCCAACAAATTCTTCGACGATCGCGAAGGAAGATAGCAAATCGACGGCATGGAATTATGAAGCGCGTTCGAAGCATCGTTCTCGCTTTTTCGCGATGTTAACCCGAGTAATGGCGTCAGCAAAACGCTTCCTGCCTTTAAGTCTCTTTTAGATTCCATCTTCAGTTTTCAATTTGTTTCTTTGAGCACAAGATCGAAACATGCAATCTCTCTTTTTTTCGCCGGCATACATAACTCATGACCAACCATGTTTATCCCTCTCGGAGCTGTAACCGAGAAAGACTGGTAACTACTTCACAACCAACATGGCGGCGAATGGCGGACATTTCGGATTTACTGTATGTTACGAAGTGTTTGCAGCCGGTTGCGGTCAATTTTAGGTAAAAACAATTGCAGAATTTCAGAAATATAACGGCGATGAGCTCACCAATTTCCAGCCTAAAGAAAGGGAAAAGGACTCCACTTGATCCCAGGTAACAGTTGTAATTAGAAACAAAATATAAATTAGGACATTTTATATGTCGCTTTGCGTTGCTAAGATAACTTACCCTACTTGTGGGCTATCTTTGCGTTTTTTCTGGTTACTACTGGTCAAAACCTATTTTTGGTAGTTTTCATGACAATGTGAACGTTACTATACTTATCAAAAGTTTGAATTTTTGCCACCTTACCACTTCTCGTTTGGTTCTCGTTTGTGTTTACGTTGTCAGAGCAATTATTGTTATAGCTAAAGAACCGCGATTAATGTTATGTTTTTCCATCTGCAAGTGTTGAACATGAATTCCTTTTAAAAAATTGTTGAACGTTTTAAAATTTGAATATGTCATGATCAGGAGAGGTAACACGTCATGGTTCGAAGTTCTTCATGGTTCGAAGTTATTCTCGTGGAGGTTTTTGAATTTCTTTGACTTCTAATTTAACTTATAATAACGATAAGGAAAAAAAAAAAAACCAACAAAAATGAAAAGATTAAAAAGGTAGTTTATGAGTTAACTGAACTGAGTGGAGTGCATTTGGTCTGAAATCAAATGCATGATTTCAAAATCAAATGAGTGCGCAGGGCAAGTTTGCAGGTTTGAAATCACAAGTAAGATTTCGGACCAAAATTCCACGATACAAAGTTTAATTACCACTTTATTACATCTACTTTGAAATTGCAAAATTCAGTCGCTCAATACAATTTTTTTTAGTCAGAACAAGTATTTTATTGATCCAAAATATTGGGCTGGTTTATAAAATGTTGCAAAAATTGTCTCACATTTTATGACAAATTATTTGCTTTATTTCTTTGAACAAACCTTGACATTTATTTGTTGTTGTGCTTTAGTAAAGCTGTCTGATTGGCTGGAAAAATGATGCAATGCGCAAAATGGTGCAATTTTTAGAATAAATTGCACTTGTGAGATTGAGAAGGATCACAAGTGATTTCAAAATGGATGTAATAAAGAATGATATGACGCTATACAGACGTAAACTCTGTAACATTTATGTCTTAAAAGAGGTTATGGACTGGGATGAATACACTTGAACACAGCAGAAAAAAATCAAGTCAAATTTGTCAAAGAAACTCAGCAGTAGAATTCTTTGTAAAAGTGGTGAAGTCTCTGCCTGAAAATGTGATCACTTTAAGATTATTGACAGATATGCTTTTGAAATCTTTATTTTGAATTTTTCAGGCAAGCTCAAGTTCCATTTAGGAATTTAGAGCACACTTCAGGTCAGTAATCAAATAATTTTTTGTTTTAAGTGAAAGGTTAAATTTACAGTATGAGCTATTGAGCTTGTTGTTTGTTAGTTTTCAATTGTTTAATATGGTGTGTTATGTGTTATTATTGTTTTCCATGAAGTTGAACTTCCCAGTGGTTCATTGAAAAAAGATGGATTTTCTAAAGTACCAAAGTCCTCAAGCTCAACAAATGGTAACGGACAAGCTCAATGAAATCTTGTGATTGTAATTATTTTGGTACAATGAATGTATGAACTTCATATATTCATTGTATCTGATTTATCATCACGGGTTTATTACGAATCAATGTAATGGCCTGCTCCCAGTTGGCTTCTTAGCTCAATTTGTAGAGCGCTGCACTAGTATCGCAGAGGTCAGTTGTTCAAATCCTGTACAGGCCTGATTTTTTTGAGGTCTGATTTTCGCTATTGCATAAATAGCGCTCTCTACTGCAAGGATCGTGCATCTTATGTAATTATTTTCTCAATCAGTATCTGATTCTAAGAGAGGTCTGTATGTAAGTCCTTCTCGAAACAATTAAATTTAATTTACTATAAAGCACTCAGTTGATGTAGACCCCAAAAAACCTAAGTTTAATGTTGTAAAGGAAATATGAGGTTGTAATTTTCAATACATTTTTTTGTGATAAATAAATAAATAAATATTGAAAATAACGTCTCGAATTTTACCCATTACCATGTATTATGAGAAAATTTCTCAGTAAACTTCAGGTCAACTACCTCCTTAACAATACCCACAATATAAGGCAAAAATATAATAGACTGTCAGGTATTATAAACACAGCAAATCCCAATAATTAAAATGTAGGAAATGGTCTAATTGAGAAGTTGCAGCTTTAAGTTTGTAACTTGTTAAGATTCATGGATTAATGAAACCAGTTATTGTTGATGTTTTATAGCACCATCGGATCGAGATCTTCTGAGTAGTATGATGTCACGTCTGGCTCAGGTGGAACAACAACTCAAAGCTGCCCAGACACAAATAGGAGAAAAGGTTAGAGCTAGCTTTACCTGTGCACATCAATGCAGAAGACACTTAGGGTAGCCGATAATGGTTGTGACATTTGTTAATTGTACATATTAAACTGCATTTTAGTGTATGTAATACTCAACTAATTAGACTCAATAACTCTTCAAAAGATGTGTATTGAGGATTTAATCCAGTTAAAACTGGCAAGGTCTTTGATTTACAAGTCTGGTTTGAAAGTTTAACCACACTTGTGCGCTTGAGACCAAAATAAAACGAGAAGTATAGTGTTGATGCATAATAAAAATAGTTATGGGTCATTTTCCTGCTTCTTATACGATGGTGTAGTTTGCAATGGTCAATGAGCAGATCTCCTTTTTTATGTAATTTTTTCAAATCTGTACCATAAATTATAACCATGCTTTAAAGTAAAGTTATGATATATCAGATTGCTGTAAAATTACAATTAACATTGATATAGTTTGAGCTCATTTTGTAACAAGACATGATGAAGAATTTTGCTTCTCCCTTCGTCTTTTTCCTTAATCTTAAGTCAATCATGAATATCCAATTTGTCACCTGTTCTGATAGTGTACTGGTGCCACACTTCAGAACGAATAGACACAGTCTCCTTCAGCTATCACTACATCATGTCCCACTCCCAAGATATTCCCTCCCAAACTTAAGGGAGTGTTTTGCCAGACCAGCTCCATAAGTTGTTGTGACAGAGATTCTGAGGAACAGTTTCAACTGATCAACCTGTGTATATCAATGACAAGTTAGCTTATTGTCTGTGTTTATCTATTTGTAGGATAAGAAGATAAGAATACTAGAAGAAAAAGCTAAATTATTAGAGAAAGCTAGAGGTAAGGGTAATGGCTGATATACATTGACCTATCAGCAAATGCGGCAAAGCCATGTATTTGATTGCATACCTGCACTTTATAGTTCCATCTATTTGCTCTCAACCTGCTTATAAAGGCTATCACAAAATTATTCTGATACACTAAATTGCCACTTTTAGGATATAACTCTGGCACAATAACAGAATTAGAGAAGAAGTGTAGAAGACTTCAGACCCAAGTGTTTCAGATGGAGGTATTCACACGGCTTTTCTGTTGCATGAAGCATGGAGGTGTATTTTTTTACTCCCCGGGAGGGTGGTGACAAAAATACCCTGGGGGGGTTGACCAGTGCTTCGCGATTTACTTTAAGGATGCTGCCAGCCTTTTTCACTGCGCATACCTTATACGCTCACGCAGTGGTCGACTGGCCACGCGTGTGTGAATTGTATCTTTAAGGACAGAGGAATACTCATTAGTGAAAAGAGGAGATGGCACAACCGCGCTGAGGCCTGGGTTTGATTCCAGGAATTAATGTTATCCTTGGCTTGAATTTGGCGTAGGTTTTCGCCCTTCGAAGGTACTTGTATTTCTCTGGGATTTCTGGTTTTCGTCCCTTCGCTAAAACCAACACTTCAAATTCCAATTTCGACCCGGAAACAATGGACACTGAGCCACTTTATGAAATCGCCATTGCTTCATTCCAACTCCAATAGTTAAACGCAAAGTTTGTTTTCTTTATCTTAGGAATTCCTTGCCGATTATGGCATGGTCTGGGTAGGAGATGATGCTAGTGACTCTGATTATGAAGTTTTAGAAGAACCATCATCCACAGCTGCTCCCAGCTCAATCAGCAGACAAGGAGTTTGGAATCCAAGTAAAAACAGCGCTTTTTTCAATTACTTCATATTTATGTAGGCTTATCTCGTATCGTTAAATCCTTTAGTTTGCCCATCGACCTCATCGCTGCCTCTTCTTTTTTTTTCCCTGTGATATTAGACTCCTCCTTGGTTAATTCAGCACCACGTGACTTTCAAATGGACTTTGATGTTGTTACGAAGAATATCAGAGAACTGAACGTTCTGGCCGGAGAGGGTTGTAGTGATGTATCACGGACTAAAGATGGAGCTAGACTTAAAGTGAGGAAACTTTGTACACATGTATTTAAAAACTGGCAAACATTTGTCAGATACGTTTTGATAATTGACCATGTGTTTCTATTTGGTGAACTGCAACTGAAGAATTGCGAAAAAGAGGAAACTTAGAAAAAAAAAACACTGGCCCGAACCACAACCTCCCAGACAATAGTTAGCCTGCAAGGAGGTCCTCATTTGTAGCGTAGGAGGTCTTGAGCAACACGAGCCCACGATAGGTCAGCATAAGGTTTAGAGCCAGAGTCCCGGTGAACCTCTTTCGGACTCGTCTCAAATCTTCCCGCAGTTAAAGAAACGCGCGCCGTGCCGATACTAGTTGAATAGTTTATCGCTATTTGATGCAGGAAGCTACATGCTGTGAGCTTTAAGCAATATTTTCTGCTCACTCCCATCGTGTGATTTTGTAACATTTTTCCCTCTCAAGGATGACCCAATCTATTAAAAAAGTTTTCCTTATCATTGGACTCGTGCTCCTTGTGTTTTTTTGAATGTTAAATATTTATGAATGACTCAATCTAGGTTCGCGAGTCTGTACCCTTGGTGTTGTATTCAAACGGCATTCTCATGTTTGGTGGACCATTCAGGCCATATTCAGACCCAATTACTCAGGTCAGTAATTCATCACTAGTCATTTATCACCTGGAGAAGTTCTCCATCAAATGTCGTGAAACCGGAAAGAAAAAAAAACCTATCACAATGCATGGCTCGACACTAACGGTAGCCAACTAGCCACAGACTAGTAGAAATTCAATTTTGGCTGGTGGTTTTCGATTTCCACTGGCTAGTTTGGCTAGTAATCAAACTGAAATTGTCAGTTGTAACATCTAAGTTGTCACTAGCCACTTGGCGAGTAAATTGAAAAGTTAGTGTCGAGCTCTGGCAATGGCCAATGAGAACGAAGGAAAATATCGCCAGATAACCAGGAACCGATGAGAACGCAGAGTTATAACAAGCAAACTGCCAGAAGCGCGGGAAATTGCGAGCAACCAGGTCGCGATTGGTTTTACTTCGGCATCTGATTGGTTGAGAAAACAGCGCGAGTTTACTCGACTGATTAGAGCAATTTAACTGAGTGTCAATAATAATCTAAGATATGATGAATATATGAAGTTCATAATCCAAGACTTCATCGGTTTGGCTTTACTGTACTCTGTAATTGGTCCAGAAAACTCGCGCCACACTCCTAACCAATCAGATGCAAAACTAACACTGATCGCGACGCGGTCGCACGCATTTTTCCGCGCTTCAGATCGTGTGCTTCTTTTGACTTTCAGTTCTCATTGCCTCTTCAGGCTATTTTCCTTTTTTGCTATTAGCCGTCGCGATTCGCAAGCGATGACCGCATTATATTGGGAAGCAAAGCAAAACCTATGCAATACCGGATTGCTTTCCAAGCTCAACTAAAAATTAATCTTAATTTTATTCATTTAATGATTTGTACCAAGTACTGGAGAAGAAACAATAGGACGTGGGTCCCTTTATTCGTCCCTATCCGAGAAGACTAGAATATCTAACTATTCCTTGATGTTATAGAAAGGTAGCATATTCTCCTCAATTATTTTAAGACCTTGAGTGTTGGTCCGGCCGGGGCTCGAACCCACGACCTCCCTCACAACAGTCCAGCGCTCTATCCATTGAGCTAACCGGGAGGCGGTTTGCTCAATGGAAGTCTCTCTAAAGAGGAGAAATGGAGGTCTCTCTAAAGAGGGAAATGGAAGTCTCTCTAAAGAGAGACTTCCATTTCCCTTCTTAGGGATCAGTTGTCATTTCATATGTGACATAACTTAGCGTTGTTTGTGCATATGTACAGGTAGTTACCGCAAAGATCTGTGCTGATTCCAAGATTTGCTTTCAAAATATCAAAGATCTCTTCTGCGTTCAAAACTTGTTCCCTAGCTTCCATGAACCTTTTTTTGTTTCAATCGTTTTTTTATTCTTTTACTGTAAATATTTTCATATCGTTCCAAAAATCGCCCTATGTAGTATTTCGTTGTTGTTTATAGGTAGTAAAAAATCCTGCTTCGTTGGTTTTACTTATTTATTTATTTTTTTATCCTGGTCGCATCCTCTTCAGCAGTGTCTGCAAGATATAATGGACGGATATTTTCCAAGTGAGTTGCAGTCCAGATATCCTGGCGGAGTTCCTTTTGAGGTACTTGCCTGAATTTACTTCATTAGTGGTCGAAAGATTCATTCGCATTATTTCGTGACATGCTTTCTCCATGATTTACGTGGACAGTGCAGCTGAAATATTAACCTCGATCATTGTACATGACACATTAATTTGTACGTGAGTTACTATTGCTAAGCTTTACTTTGGCTGCGAAATATTTATAATTGCGAGCGACACACAGCCGATTTTTATGTCACTGATTTGCGTTTTGTGTGTATGTAACAGGTACAGGACAAAAGAGATATTGTGTTTGAAGACAGAAGAACAGCACTTCTATTTCCAGGGACAGGGCAATCATTAGCGGCTGAGGAGAATGCCAAAAGCCTCAAAGTCGAGAGTCATACACCAGGTTTGTTCAGTCGGTCTTTACAGCGACATTTACTCTGAAAATATAGCAACATTAATAATATATAAAATAATAAATCATAAATAATAAATAAAAAAAGCCAAAAAAAATAAATAAATAAATAAATAATAAATAATAAATATAGCAATATTAAAGGGAGACAGTAACCTTCTGCACCACCATGCTTATATTGCCTATTATTGCACGACTCGGGCAGTCAGAGGGCCAATAACTAAAATCAACCAATCAAAATGCTCTATTGCCGGTCCAATATTCTCTAAGTATTGGACCGGGCACTGTCCCAAATGGTCCCGAATGATACCGCACTTGTGTTCCTTTGAACTTCAGTCGTATAATAAATCTCTTATTAACCAAGCTTGCACGGGACCGTACTGGAAGAATATCGGCCCTCGGTCTTTTTTGTGCGGACCGAACGCAGCGAGGTCCGTACTGTGAAGACCTCGNGAGGATCGTGCATCATACGTATCTAATACCGCAGTTCAAAATATATGAACTTCATATATTCATTGTATCTCATTTATCACTTTCACGGGTTTATTACGAATCAACTTAACGGCCTGCTCCCAGTTGGCTTGTTAGCTCAATTGGTAGAGCGCTGCACTAGTATCGCAGAGGTCAGTGGTTCGAGTCCCGTACAGGCCTGATTTTTTTCAGGTCTGATTTTCGCTATTGCTTAAATAGCGCTATCTACTGCGAGGAGCGTGCATCATACGTATCTAATACCGCGGTTCAAAATATGTGAATTTCATATATTTCATTATATCTGATTTATCTCTTTCACGGGTTTATGACAAATCAACTTAACGGCCTGCTCCCAGTTGGCTTGTTAGCTCAATTGGCAGAGCGCTGCACTAGTATCGCAGAGGTCAGTGGTTCGAATCCCGTACAGGTCTGATTTTTTTCAGGTCTGATTTTCGCTATTGCTTAAATAGCGCTATCTACTGCGAGGAGCGTGCATCATACGTATCTAATACCGCGGTTCAAAATATGTGAATTTCATATATTTCATTATATCTGATTTATCTCTTTCACGGGTTTATGACAAATCAACTTAACGGCCTGCTCCCAGTTGGCTTGTTAGCTCAATTGGCAGAGCGCTGCACTAGTATCGCAGAGGTCAGTGGTTCGAATCCCGTACAGGTCTGATTTTTTTCAGGTCTGATTTTCGCTATTGCTTAAATAGCGCTATCTACTGCGAGGATCATGCATCATACGTAAAAGTGTATGACTAACTGTGACACTAACTGCGCTATCAGATTCTAGAGAGAAGCATAACCTTTAGAAAATTATCTCCAAAGTGGTAAACATCGGACTTCGAACAACCTCCCCCCTTTTAAACATGACTTCCCAAGAATTTAGCTCAAACCGCGGGAACCAGTAAGCGCAGTTCATAGCTATTAGCAGCCTATGTTCAGCTGACTTTTGCCACAACAAACCGAGAGCGGCAGCTGCTGTGAATCGCGCTGTGTGATTGACACCATTTTGGGACATTTGCGGCTAGGTTACAGAGCTGTTTCAAAATTACTGCATCCCTAGTCGAATTTCTAGCGCATTTAAAGGCGACAATCGAAAGCTAAGTTACGCGCGGAGAATGGTAAATTTTTCTTCTTAAAATTTTTTTAATGTCGGAAATACTTTTTCAACGCGTTGCAGAACACAAGAATTCAGCAATTCAATTGGCAAACATATCACTACTGCGCACTGTAGAAAATCTCAAAGTAGGTTTGATTGCTTAGTATTTGAAATGCTTTTTTTCATCAAGAAACTCTAACCGAAGTTGAACGTGCAAGCGGATTCCATACGTGCAAAACTTTCTAAGTTTTTGTTATTTATTGTTTTGAAACTTTTTAATCAGTAACTCTTGTTATTTTAGTATTAAAGCCTCTTAAACTTATAAAATGTTTCTTAATAATGACGTTACGATAACGTTAAAACGTCGTCGTCAACTAGCTTTTTCAAAGCCTTTTTAAATGTATTTTAATGGTTTTAGAGGTATTTTACCGCAGTTTTTTTTCTCTTTTTTTACCGTCAAACGAAATAAAAACTGTATGTTTTTGCACGCTTCTCCTTTTTTAGCCCACGTGTAGCCGCACCCTCCCCCCATGGAGAAAGGGATGGGAGGGAACACGTAGGCTACTCCGTTTGAAGACTTTTTGATTGTCTCCGCTGTATATTTACAGAGGTGTTGAAACTGCAAGACCTCAATCAGCCGGCAAAACTCAGGTTTCTACTTTGAGGATCAAATCAGAGACCGGAGAAATGGTTTGATCTTGTTTTTTTTGTTTTTTTCTATTTCATTTAATGGTGTACTTGTTCATCTATTTTTGTCGTACAAGCCTCTTCAACCCCTAATTTGACTTTCTTGTCTCTGTAGACTTATATCTTGAAGATGAAGTTTACAGATTGCATACGAGATGTTAGAAGTCACGTTGATGCTGCAAGGTAGGCAAAGAAACGATGAACACTTGTGAACGAAAAATGAGAACTTATTATTGTCGATGTTTCGTTTCACAGGTTAAACAAACTGTGGCATTCTCGTCACGAAATGATTGAAGAGATATTCGAAACGTCAATGTTGTTGCCATTAAATCGCTTGCTGTGGACGTCTAATTCTCAATTTATTAGAGTTATTTTGTGGCTACCAGAAAGTGTCGCAGAAGATCCTACCACTTAAACTTCTTCTTTCTCGTTTTACCGCTCTTTGCAGACCTTTCTACCTTTTACCTTTCCCTAAGCGGACTGATGCCTCAAAACAATGATGTCCTATTAGAATGTAAAATTGCACGTTGCATTAAGCGGAATTCTTCTTATTTTCATAGGCCAAAAGATGCTCCTCCCTACGACATTAAAACGTCTTTTCCTAACAGAGTTTACGATGATCCTAACGCAACTTTACAGGAGTGCGGCCTGGTACCCAATGCAACTCTTCATCTTCTTGTTAAGAAAGTTTAATACAACGTTGATACAAGCTGTAGTCAATCTTCGTCAAACTTGTGCTTTCTTTACGCATGAGCTAATTCACTATCTTTTAAGATATCGTAAGTTATCCTTCCTAACGCTGATTCCTCAAAAGCAGGTCTCTTTCTTCGTGCGCAAATGATGTAAAGTAGTAAACGTACTTTTACGTGCAATGCAGTCGTAAAATAACAGCAGTGTTCTAAGTACGTTTGTACAGTGTAAGAGAGTTAATAATTAAATTCTATTCAAGAAGGAAATCATTTAAGTAGAGTTGGAAAAACGCATCTTTCTTTAATTTAACAAATGGTAAACACCACAGCGTACACTATTGAGTTATGGATGTACGCGGGAGGTTGCTAAGCACGAAAAAATGCGTAAGGAGTAGCGCGAGGCGATAGCCGAGAGCGACTCTAGCTTCTTG